ACACAATCAATTGTTAACCCAGTTCAGTGTGTAACAACACCTACTCTGGGGGCTACCAAGCCAGGGAGGAAATTCACTATAAGAGGTGTTAATTTAGGAATAAACCAACCAGTTTATCTCCTTCACTTAAGACCTACCCAATGCAACTTCAATCTAAGTCCTACTTAAACCTGAGTTCCTACTCACTCCCCCTCAATCACAGCAGTGATACTAATATATTGATTAATGAGGTTATGAAGACATTCTTCAATACACACACTTGATTTTGCTTCAAAGCTTTAATCAAGAGAGACAAACACTCGTGCTTCAAAGCTTTGAGTTATAAACAACCCTTACAACCAAATCCTACTCCAAGTCACTTATCAAAATGATAATTTCTTGGCTCACAGTAGTTACAACTATACAATGCCTTATTGATATTCTGTCAAAAAGTGCTTCAGTCTATTAGGCTTCGTGAGAAATATATATGCAGACTATTCCTCATTTAGGGCTTCCATAAAAATAGCTAGGGTTAACTAAAGTTAACCTAAAGACTTGGTCTAGGGATTTTTCATAACATATTAGAGTTAAGCAAGGTTAACCTAATGTCCACGTGAGCAGCTGATCTGGATAATAATTCTTCAACTCAGAGTAGCACACCAGTTTCTTGAAAATTCTCAGGAATAATAAATCTGCACAACAACTTGATCAGTACAGGATGTCTTAACATTGGTTATAACATCATGTATCTTGCTCACTGATTTTGGTAGAATTTAGAACATATGATCATAGCTTAATGATCATGATAGTCACTCATACTGAGTAGTTCCTGTAGAACATTCCTTCTGCAGAATGTACCTTTATCCCAGAATGTTATGACACCAGTCATGACATTCGCAAATCTGGTTTTACCACAAAATAATGCCAACAAACAAACACTTACACCTTATAAATATTTGCTTTTGTGTGTTACAAGTTCTGAAGATTTGAAGACAAGGTTCTGTTGAACAGGTTCTAATGATTTGAAGAAAAGCAAGTTCTTACAACCAAGTGCTGAAGACTCTAAAGACAAGGTTCTGATGGGACCAGTTCTGAAGACTTCAAGACTTAGGTCTAAGACTTAAGAGAAAATATTCTACAACAAGCTTCAACATTAAAATTATCGAAAGCCTCTGAAGATAAGAATAAGTTCAAAATGGTTAACGTGTGATGGTGTACAAAAGGTACACAAAGTGTTTGTGAACTCTACTCTTCTAGAGTGGCGCAAGGACAGTATTTTTGTACTACACTATGACCACTCTCATTGTGACCGTTGGGAACAAACAGCTCGATTCACAATTACTTTCTTTCACTAACAAATCTCTATTTGCAAGCTTATTAGAAAAACATTATTTAGAGAAAAGGTGGAGAGCTAGCATTGAAAAAGACAAACTATGGAAAATATTATTTTATACTGTCTAAACTCTTACACCTTTTCTATCTGTTGAGAACTAACTGTTGGTGAGGTTAAAGACTTTTCTATCCTTATAACGTCTCTCTCTCACTCAAGGCTATAAAATAATATCAAATATTTGAAGAAACTTGCCTCTGGCCATCAAGATGATAAACAGTGGATGCTGGAGATGTTAAAGTTGCAATGCTACACATTCTGAAGACCACCATGTAAATGAGAGAAAAGAAAGAAAGAAGAAGAAGAAGATTTCAACAAGATGTTATCCAACTAGTCATTATATACATATTGGATGAAACTGAAGAAGAAAGGAGTTGATGCTCGTAGCTTGCTCAATGAAGAAGAAGACTACAAGATGCTATACAAACTATTATCACATACATCTTGGCAGATCTCAGAAGAAGCAAGGAATTGTTGCTTGGAATTTTCTGAACAAGAAGATGAAGAAGAAGAAGAACACTACAAGATGCTACTAAACTTCTGATCATATATATCTTTGTAGAACAATGTAATGAACACAAGAGTTGATGCTCATATTGTATTACAGTTCCAATCTCTTCATGTAAATTGTTTTAACACAATAGTTGTTGCTCAAAATTGTGTAAAACAATATATGCTCAAATTACTTGTGTAATCTGCTTATAAGAAGCAATCATGTAAACATAAGATCCTATCAACTATTATTGGTTGATTCCTTGAGTGACCTAGTCAAGGTCTAATCACAAGAAGATAATGGTTGCGGTCGTTATAGGAAATCCTAACAGGAGATCTTAAGTGATCAATTTCTGTTGGGTCAATGATTGTTATATTCGTTAAATCAGATCACTGAACATATCATTGAAATGTTCCTTGAGTGACTTTGTGAAGGTCTGATCTTAAGAAGACAGTGGTTGCGGTCATTGTAGGAAACCCTGATAGGAGATCTTAAGTGCTCAGATTCTATTAGGTCAATGAACGTTATATTTGTTAAATCAGATTACTGAACGTGTCATTGTTTGTTAGTCACTGGCAGTTGCCCGTGCACTTGTAATCAATTTGGTTATAGTAGATTAAGTCATTGGATAAGGCGAAATCATCCTTGAGGGGATGGACATGAGTAACCTAGTTAATGGTGAACCTGGATAAATCACTTGTATACTTTACTCTTCATTGTCTGTATAGCTTTTATCATTTGAATGATTAGATTTTCTAAAGGGGAATATTTTCTATAAATACAATTTAAACCTCTTTTCTTGTGTTTTATCTACCTTTAACATGATCTCAATTTGTGTCCTTTACATTTTGCCTGTGTGCGTTAGCTTAATTCGTGTCATTGCATTTTACCTTTGCATATGTTAACTTATTTCGGGCATTGTGTTACTTTTCGATCCTCCTTTGTGTTACATTTCATCAAAGTTTGTTTTCGCAATTAAATTGAATCGCTTCACAATCAGAACTAAACTTTTCAAATAAATTTCAAACCAAAATCAATGAAACACTTGATCAACATCAAACACATTTTCAAAGTCAAACCAAAATCTTTCATAAATAAAATCAATCATTTATTTAAAAAAAATTCAAATTAATAGCGAACTAAACACTCGAACAATATCAAGTCATTTTTTTAGACTTTTCAATCAAATTTAACAATCACAAATCAAAACACTTTGTCAACACCAAATTCTTTTCTCGTGTAATCAAATTGTTTCCAAAAAAAATTTCATTATAAAATTGGATGAAAAAGGACTAGTTGGGCGTAATACCCTTTCTAGTTCCCAAATACTTGGATACTGGTTGTAATAGCCTATCGTTTGGGTATTCGTCTTTCTTTCAAAAATACAATAATTAACTAGATTTAGTTCGCTCCTTAGTGAATGAAAAAGGGTTAGTTGGACGTATTACCCATCCTAATCTCTGAGTATTTGGGTGCTAGCAGTAATAGCTTATCATTTGAATGCTTGACTTTCATTAAGAAAATATGGCTTAATTCGTCTCACAAGTTTCATAAATAACTTGGACAAAATTATTAGTTGGGTGTAATATCCATCCTAGTTCTCGAGTATTTGGATGCTAGCCGTAATAGTTTACCGTTCGAATACATGTCTTCTGCCTAAAAACAATCTCAACCAATCAAACTACTTTTTTCTACCTTAGAGCGACTCCAAATTTTTTCCACAAAGAACATGTTTATCCATTCTATCGCAATACAAACAAACACTTAAGCCTCTCATGCGCGAGCATGTAAGCAACCTTTAAATGCTAGGATGCGATCCAAGTGTATCCATTCTACCGCAATAGAAACAAACACTTTAGTCTCCCATACGCGAGCAAACAAACAATATTTAACAACTAGAATGAAACTAAGCATCGTTCATTAAAATCAACCAACACATACATAGTTTTCTGTCAAAAACTACGTAGCCTTGAGTTCTCCATCACACCTAAGGATACGTAGGAGCGAGATTCAACGTTCGTCAAACACTATTTTACAAAATCCAAAAACAGTTCTTTTCTTACTAAGAATTACGTAGTCTTGAATTCCCCATCGCACTAGAGAATACGTAGAAGCGAGATCCAACGTTTCATCAAACACATTAATAAAAAACTTATTTTTGATCCTTTATTTCTTCTAAACGCCCAATAAACTAGAAGATCGCAAATAACATCACACTAACACTCTTTCACAAAATTAACTAAATAGTTTCCGTTGAGTACAATTGATTTAAGGGGTGCTAATATCTTTCCCTTGCATAACCGACTCTCGAACCCTAATTTGGTTGTGACGACCATTTTTATTCTTTTAAGGATTTTATCGATATTTTCCCTTTTCTCTTAAAATAAATAAACTTCGGTGACAACTCTATTATGCTTTGTCACTGTGTATAAAAAAAGGTGTTAATCAGAAATGAGATATATTAAACTTGGGCTGGTCCATTCAAGTACTAATGGGCGAGATGCTTTAGGGAAATGTCCGAATGTACAAATTTATATGAAAACAACTTAACGATATTTTCTCTTTTATTATAGAAACAACTTATAAGTGTTTAAGTTACAAGTTGTTAATTAAATTGTTTATTCAAGCAATAGCTTCTAAATACTTGAAAATACGTATAACCTTTTCCAGAAACACATCTGTTTTTCAAAAGCCTTCTCATTTGACTTGTTTCCAGTGTAGAACCTTAGAAAGACTTTTCTTTAACTTGTTTTATCTGACAAACACATATAAGTTAGTTAGAAGCTGGACCAAAGTATTGCTTTGGCTGCTTTGAAGGGAAGAGATAAAGTGAGTGTTGAGGATATTGCTACTGTCTTCGAAAGGATCCTTTGGAGTCGATAGACTCGGGTTTACTTGTCACTGAGAAATTTTATGAAATATTCAGCTGAAGGTGATAGATAGATAGATAGAACATTCTCTCAGCTCTGGTAACCTTTCCTATGGCGGATCATTAAACATGACTAACAATCTTTACTTGAAACAATCTTTCTCTTATCTTATTTGTAGCCTTGTGTTCATAAAGCCTGGTTTCATATATAAATGCAGTACAATTTCATCTCGAAAATTTTATTCGAAGTTAAAGAGATAGAAATAAAATTACAATTGTGAATTACTCCTCTGTAGTATTATCGCGTCATTTTCTGTAACTCCTCCCCAGATTTTAGGTCTCTGCTCTAGAAAAGCTGGCGGCCGCTGAAATAAAACGGTAGCAGCCCTAATTAAGATTGCAGCAGTTATGGCCCATATCACATACTTTTTGTTGTCTACCTCATAATCAAAATAATGTACCAGATACTTCTCTTCCATCCATTCTTTTTCCTCAGCTCTTCTATTATCATTCTGCATTCAAACAATAATGTAGGAAATTAAGTTCCTTTGCATTTGATCATGTCAAAAACTAAATAAATTTAACACACCGAAAAAATATAAGTGTACAGAACCTTGAGAAACATCTCCAAGGGGACATCGAATATTGCTTCAACTTCAGCTGAATCTAAAACTGGTGAAAATGCATCCTTGTTGGACAATATTCCAACCACCGGTATTATTGTGATGCCGTACTGCAATTAAAATAACTCTGTAAGAGAACTAACTTGTGAAATAGCCAGCATTGACAATCCCACAGTTTTATTAACAAGATCGATGTTTCTGTCAGTGATCAAGCACGACGGAAGTTAGTATGATACTGGTAATACTCTACAATAGCTGAATTGAACATAATCTATCATCTTCTTTAGTATTTGTACATTATATCTCTATCTAAAACCTTAAGATATCGAAAACTCTCTCGTGTCAATATACTTGCAGATTTCTATACTTTCATCACCATTAACAATTAGTACCTAAATTTTGATACTTACTTGTTGGAAAATCCGATAGAGAAAATGGACTAAATAACCGATCACCTAAGATTAATAGATTAGTGGTAGTCAAGACTTTGCTAAGTTTTCAGAAGCCTGTGTAGATTAACCACGACTTAAGTTTGACAAATTACCAAATCAAATATGGACTCTATTTTGTCATGATTTTCACAATTTCAACTTAACATGTCAAATTTTAGATCATGTGTGTTAGTCTGTCTTGTACACCCTCGTAGACGGCTCTGATGGATGATAAAGAGTTAGTACCTTAGAATGAAAGGGTTCAAGAAGAGTAATAACAGTGACAAGAGAAGGGTCTAATCCAATTTCCTCTTTAGCTTCTCTCAACGCAGTTTGAACATCATCAACATCACACTCATCTCTCTTCCCACCTGGCAAAGCAACCTCACCTGCAACCAAACCAAATCACACAAAACGAAACCAATTAAAGTTACCAGAAAGAGGGTAAAAATGGAAACGAAACTCACCAAACTAACCGGCGTGGGTGGAGAGAGAAGAAGCACGCTGCGTCAGAATTACTCGTAAATTCCCATTTTGGTCTTCGAATAAACAAATCAGAACCGCTGCTATTTTGTTGGGTTTGGAATTTGAAATTTGGTGGAGTGAATTGGTGGACATGGAATTGGATGATGATTGGAGATGATGAAGCAAAGTTTGTAACCTTTGGTGTGAACCTCGTACCTCGTTGTTTGTCGTGTTCGAAGCCATTTGTCGATTCTAGTTTCTGATTTCTGATAGGGAAAATGTTTCCATTAATGTAACGACAGAGATTTTCAAACAGACATAGCAAAGAGATGGAACATGGAAGTTGGAAAACAGAGGTGACAACGCTCTTATGTTTCTGGAAAAGTAGCGTATTTTATACTGGTCGTTCTACATTAAGCTATTTTCAATTTCTATGGTTGGATTGATGCAAAGGGTTGGAAAGGAATGAAATAGACTGAAATGGTGTCATGTTTTATTGTTTGGTTAAAACAGATGAGTTGAATGGAATGAAATGCCATGAAATTCATTTTATATAATATTATTATTTTAGTTTATTTTTCATTCCACCTAAATTGGAGTGCATTCAATGGAATGAAATAAATTAGTAATATAATTACAAATTTGTCTTTTAAATTTTCACTTTATTATATTAATATATTGAAGTAAAGAACAAAAATAAAATAAAAAGATTATAATATTTTCCGCCCCGTTCAATTTCTAAACAGTGGAATGAGATATTCGTCCAACTTCATTCAATTTTTAAACAGTGGAATGTGATATTAGTTCTGCTCCGTCATAAAATATCCAAACAATGAAATGGAGTTTATGTTTCGTTTCATTCCATTCCACTCCATCTATTTTGTTTCATTCTACTCTATTAATTTAGTTAGGTTGTTATCTTCCTTTCTATGGTCAAAATAATACTTAAGTCACCTAACGTTGGGTGTGGATTCTTTCTAATTTATTTTTCACTGGAGGGTGTTAAGTGTCAATCAACTCCATTCAAATCATATTTCAATGACTTAATTGATTTACAGTTAAAAAAAATGAACGGTGGAGATTTCACTGCACCATATATCCATGGGAGAGAATCTCTATCCCACCTAACTATACTATCATTTGGTAATTCATTTTTATATGAATGCATTCATTTTTATGGTATTAGAGTATATTGATCGGATTACTTTCACCACCACGAGAGTGATATGATGTCAAAGTTTATTTATTGATCGAATTACTTTCACTATTTATTTCATGCACCAACCTTAATAATATTGAGTGTGAGAAGGTGTATTGGAGAAATCGAGTATAACATAGTCACAATTTGGACCACCCACCATTTATATACATACATTAAGTTCAATAGTTATAAACTTTAAGGAGTGTATATTGGGAAAAAAACAAGTTCTACATGGGTTAGAAATAAAACATAAAAAGGTTTATAAAGAGTGGTGAATTTCACCTTACAAATCGGTTTTATAGAGATAAGTTAGGTCAAATTCAAATTCTAATATGGTATCGGTAGACTAAATATATTTCCCTTCTTCATTCCCCAACTCCTTTCTGTCTCGTTCTTGTTGCACTTTCCACAGCCAGACATGGACGACAACAACGATTATGATTCCTCCAACGAGATCTCTAACAATTCCAGCACTCAACATCCATCGTACAACCCTCGCAACTCCTTAAATCAACAAAGTGTGCCATGTCATCCAAGAATAAGCTCCAATTCATCAATGGTTCTCTCCCTTAACCACCAACAACAAATGCGTATTTCAAATTGTAAGATTGTTGCAATAATATGGTGCTGCCATGGATAACTCACACCCTAAATCCTAAAATCTCCCAAAGCACAACTTACTCTAACAATGCGGCAAAGTAATGGTTTGACTTGCAAGATCGCTACACCAAATGGTTTCTCATTTTTTCTTAAATAATTACATTAAATCAAATAAGGTGATCACACCATTTTTGTCTACTTCTTTGATCTGAAAATCATTTGAGACAAACTCGAATTTCCCCATCCAACCCCTACTTGTATACTCTATTTTTTCCTATAGTTCATTTGTGCGCAAATACGAACACCTCAAATTCATAACTTGCTTTCTCAAGGGCCTTAATTCCAACTATAGCAACATCATAACCCAAATACTCCTTATGGACTTTTTTTCACCCCTCAACAAGACGTATTTATTAGTTCTTCAAAAATGACCTTCACCTCATATTCCTCACATTGGTCCTACCATTATTGTTGCTTAGAACACCAACCACGACAAAGATAGATATTCCAACCATCAATGAAAAGGCTAAGATAAATGGCAACCCAAGAACTTCGTGTTGTGCAACCATTGCAACAAAACAACCACACAAGATATAACACTAAGAAGCATACTCCAAATAAGGACATTATAGAGCACAAGACACCCTATTTCAGTACATCCGCAGATGGATCAAATTCAATCTAGAAAGAAGACAACTTATTTCTTGAAGTCTTCTAACCATGACGTATCTCATAAGGAAAATAATGATACTTCAATGGGTGAGGCCTCATATGTGATATCTAGCATCTCAAAGACAGATAATATTTTTCAAAAAAATACATTATGGATACTAGAATATAGTGCTTCATATCTGTATGCTCATTTAATTTCGTAGTTGGTCACATGATTAGGTTGTTTATATTGTTTTCTAGAAGTGCATGGTGATAAGGTCTTCTATTAGTAGCGATTTATTGCATAAGTTATAGGTTATATTAGAATTGGTAATTCAACATTGTCTTAATGTGGATTAAGTCTGAAGACTTTGATAGTATATTCTTGTACGTGATTGAAAATCATTCGATAACACTTCTTATGGAATTGAACGATTTTGAAATACGAATAGTTTATACATTTGGTGTAATTCTATAGTTTGATTTAATACATTGTAAACTTATTAAGTACATTTATGAATCTTTCTATATCAGCATTATCTCTTTTACACAAAATTTGCTTCTGTCATGCAAAATAAACTCTATTTTTGAAACTTTGATAAAAATATTTTTTAAATAATTTTTAACTTGTGAGGTGTTTTGACCCCATCCCCTCTATACTGTTCATAGTTCATATTCTCACGCAACAATTGGCCTCAGAGTTGGTCTTTTGATCATGTCTAAATGACTCAAAAGTTTGGGAATATGGGTGACGATGATCCAAAAGGAGCGTATAATAGAGCACCACTTTTTAAAGGCAAAAATTATGCTTATTGAAAGGATAACATGTATGTTCACTTAATGTCAATTGACAAGAATCTATAGATAGCAATCACCGACGGGCCTTTTATCCTTAAAAAGTCAACGATTCTATTAAACTCCCAAAATATTGGATTGATGATGAAACCAAAAAGGCTTCATATGATTTGAAAGTGAGGAATATACTTATATCGACATTAAGCACTAAAGTATATTACTTTATCTCACATCATAAGAGCGCACAAACTATGTGGAACGATTTTCAAGTCCTTTACAAAGGAACTGGAGACGTCAATGATTCTAAAATCAATATGTTGATAAAGGAGTATGAAATTTTTTCCATATAGAACTCGGAGAATATATGGAATACACGTAGACTCATTTCCTCCATTTAATCAATAAGCTAGACAATTTGTGAAATACCATTTCTAACAAAGATTGTGCTAACAAAATTTTGAGATCTATGTGCAGGGAATGGCAACCAAATGTTACTGACATAAAAGAGTCAAATTATCTTAGTTCTTTGGATATCACAAAACTATTTAGAAATCTTACCGAACATGAGAATGAACTCAAACGGCTCGCTGAAAGTGAAGTGAAGCCGAAGAAGAAAGAGAAGGTAAAAGAAGAGAAGTGGGATATATCCTTGAAAGCTTCGTCGTAAAGGATAAAATAAAATAAGGACGAAGGTGATGGTTTTGAAGAAGACTCTTATAAAGAAGAAGAGATGATGTTATTCATCAAGCGCTACAATCAATACATGAAGAAGCATAAGCTCAAGCATCTTGACAAAAATCTGATTAACTTTAAAAAGTCTCTTCTCCACAAGAAGCAACATAAGAGAAAAGAAAAAGATGTCACATGCTTTGAATACAGAAAATCAGGTCACTATAGAACCACATGTCCGAGTCTTAACGAACATCATAAGAAAAAGGAAAAGGAATTCTACAAGACAAAGGGAAAATATGCTAAGGGTCGTAGAGCATATGTCACTTGGGAAGAAGAAGATAAGACCTCTTCTTCATCTTTTAATTCAAGCTCTGATGATAAATGTGTTAACCTATGCTTTTTGGCACACAAGAAAAGTGAAGAATCCAAGGTATATACTTTCGATCCTGAAGGTAAACCATCTTATATACAATTACCGAAAGCTTTTAGTGAAATGCATGCATATGCTCTAGATGCTTTTAAGAAAATTTATCCCCAAAGAAAACTTGTTTCAAAACTTGAAAAGGAGATTAATGATCTTAATATTTCATTAGATTCTTTAAAATAAGAGCACACATCTCTTGCAGATGAGTGTTTTGGTACTTCTGATACTTTAGTTAAAAACATAGTAAAGATAAATTATGTTACTTGTCCAATTTTAAAACTTGAAAATGAAAAACTCAAAGGTAAATTAGCACTAGTTATTTCTTTATCTACTACTAGTTTTATGTCTTCAAGTGAAACATGGATTGGTTCTGAGAAAAGTCCTTGACTTGCTAGAAGAAATAGAAAGAGTATTTCATCTAAAGCTATATGTCATTATTATGGTGATAAGGGTCACATTAGGCCTCTTTACCAAGTTAGGAATGCCAAAGTTTCTAATGGTACTATGGCTTAAATACCTAAGCATTCCTTAACTAAACATCAAGGACCCACTAGTTGGGTACCTAAATTTCCTATTTTATTGTCTTCAGGAATGTCTTGCCTCCGTGAAAAGGTTGTGGTTTCTAGATAGCGGATGCTCAAGACACATGATGGAAGACGCTTCGATGTTTATCATGTTCGGTCATAAATAAAACAATCACGTCATGTATAAGGATAACACATGAGGTAAAATTCTAGGAGAATGTATTGTGGGAAATCCCTCAACAATAACCCTTTAAGGTGTTGATCTGACCTGATCAGAAGGTTTGGACCGTCACGGCTTACTCCGAGCTGAAGGCTTTTTGAACGAGGAGGGGGGGGGGGGTACCTGCAAGGCACTCCGATGCTAAAGTCAGTGGGA